AATGCCGATGTTTTTAAAATTGTTATTCACAATGATTTGTAACTCTTCCCTAGGGAGCCATTAACTTCTGTATAGTTTGTGAAGGCTCACAAAAGACAGACTGCATTATCTGTAAATAAGTTCTCATCATTTGAGTTTTTGGTGCATGAAATTACTTTTTAGGCTTTAAGATTTATTTATCCTTCATCTTAAATGAGCTAATTTACTTCACAGAAGAAGGCTTTGCTTGAAAATATGAGTACATTGAGCCTAAGAATTTTCTGATTCATCAGAATGAAAAACTTCATCAGTCACCCTTTGCTTAAAAAAATTGTCTTTAATTGTGACTGTTTGGCTTTGTCACTTGGCTGGGACTAAGTAATATGCTGTATTCTTAAAGTGGTGGTGGTTACCTATCAGAGGCTTGGTAGCTTTCCACGTATACTCTTGTTCCAAAGAGTCAAGATATGTCAGTAATATTAGCAATAATTACCTTAATCCAGGTTATTCATTATAACTTTTTCTAAGTCCTATCATTTGGAGGAATAATTGGTTTAAAATGTCAGGTTATTTGGTAATATCTTCATCTGGAAGGAATAACTAAAATTTAGTTAGCTGAACTTGAGGCACATTCCATAGAAATTTTTTCTCAAGGTCAAACTGTTCTAAAATATTTACCATCATGTATTTAATCCAATTACTGTAGAGAGCCATCTGAAAGTCTTTTAGCTGTTTTTTAATTCAAGTAACCAGCTGGAGAGCTACAGATGGTGTTGACAATACTATCTGCAATTATGAAGCATCTTCAGTTCACTGGCATTTTTTACTGTCAGAAACTTCACCTTTTCTATGGGCATATCATTGTAGCAAATAATGGAGTGTTGGGTGGTGTGCTATTTGACAATTTTTCTCCTCTTAGGATAGGGTAAGTACTTACCTTGTAGGGTAGTTACTATTAACTGGTGTTAACAGTGCTGGGGAGCAGCTGAACCAAAACAGTTTTATCTGTATAACTGAGATGTAGACTGGAAAGCCAGGAAGGATTAGTTCAGCCAAATTCCTTCCTTGTTCATTCACTCTGTATGTGCTAGTGGAGAAGCATGTTTTCTCTAATTAAGCTGTTTTGCACTTCAATTATCTACAGAATGTGTCGGTCTGTGTGTTGCATTCTTTGTGTCTAGTAGTTGTGAAATCCCAGTTTAACTTTTTGTCTGCTGATGCTATGGAATGGATTTCAGAAATCAGTCTGCTGCATAAAGTAGTATTTAACTTAATGTTTTCAATTATTCTGTTAATTTTATAGAGTATAAGTAGTAGGAGAACTGTTGAAGGAATGGAATTATTTATCTTTAGATAGTCATTCCAGATGCTGTAGGGATTTGATTTGGGAGAGAAGGAAGGGATCATCTTGGCAAGGTCAGGCAGCTATCCTGAAAAAGAGCTATCCTTAACTCCTAATTTTCCTCGCCTCAGAAAATAATGAGGTATGTGATGTGGTATTGTTAAAGTAGTGCTTATCTACTGTGGAAGTTGACTCTTTAAATAAAATATTTATCTTCAGATACTGATGATTGTCAGCTCGCTAGCTTGTAATTGTAAAACTTTTAATATGGCTGCTAAAAGTTAAACTATGTAAACAGCAGCATATAACTCACAACTTCAGGAGGTGGCAAGTCTGTACTTTAACTGCACTTGGGGATATTTCCAAATATAGGCTCAGAACTGAGGGAAGAGTAGACAAATTCTGGGTTGCTTACTTTCTGTAGAGTTCAAATCATTTAGAATACCAGTTTCTTTTCTGAAATGGGCTTTAAGTGGGGTTTGAAGCATAGAAAATGAGAAAAACAGGAGATGACGTACCTTAGCATAAACTCTTTAGGAGAGATCAGTCAGCAGGTTCATGTGCCCTGTGGGCTGCCTTCTGACACAAACCCTCGAATGGGCCTCCGTGGCCCATACAAGTCTTTATCCTACCTGCCTGCAGTCTTAAAAATGGCTTGACAATTTGATTCTTAATGCCGTTGAAGTCTCTACTTTGTGATGGAGCAGAATAATAAGTATTTTTAGATGTTGCTGTATGTACATTGCTAGAAAGGGAGTAAGACTTAACCAGTACCGTTGGGGTACAAATAAGCACTCTGTGATCTGAATCACAAAAGGGCCCAGTATGTTGTGGGTGGTTTTGCCCACACAACTCAACATTGAGCTGACTTTGATTTTTACAAAACTTATGCAATCCTTGTACAGAGACATTTTTTCGAAGTACTGAAATGTGGGGGTTTTTTAGCACAGAATCTGCTTTGTATCTCTTCCTTATGGCTACAGTTTATTTAAAATGAGAGGTGAATAATTATCTGTGTCCTAACAGTAGTAGTTGCCATATCTGTAGGCAAAATTATACCTGATAGCAGAGAATTTGCCTGTGTAATTCTTCCCTTAGAGTTATCTGTTTTCATATTCACTATTCCTTAACAAATATCGTATTTGCATACCTGTTTGGTAAAGGACAGTGTATTTGGTTTAATGGAGTGCTGAATACTCTCTAAAACTGTCAAATTATTATCCTATAAATTAGAATGGGCTGATTTTTATTTGGTTAGTGTTAATAATTACTATTTGTTCTCCTTTTAGATCAGTGTATTGTTACCCGAACATACCTCTTTCTTCACAAATTTTGGTTCTTCAGTGCTGCCTATTACTTTGGGAACTGGGCATTCATTGCAGTAAGTAGCTTGATCACTGAATCAAGTTGGATAATTTGCAGTAGTTGTCACTGAATCATTTGCATCACCACACTGCCATTCAGTTCTACATATATTACCCTTGTATGCCTCTTAATTGAATAACACTAACTTTTACTACTTGTTTTAAATTTCAGGTCTTTTTAATTGGATTAATTGTTTCATGCTGCAAAGGCAAGAAGTCAGTCATTGAGGGTGAAGTGGATGAAGATGATTCAGATATGAGTGATGACGAACTGTCTGTTTACTACCGTTGATAGCCTTTTGCCTTCAAGCTGGAGAAATGCAATTTAAAGTCATGTTGTGAGTCATACTCATGTGGAATTGGTATCCAAATAAACATCCTTGCACCTGTAATAATAGGGGAAATAAGTGTACTCACTTAAAGGGGTAAAAAACTGAGTAACACTGGGTATTAGTGCTATAGCAGAACAAATACTGAAGCTGGGTTTGAATAATATATAGAAAATAACTAAATGTATATGTAACTTTCTGATGTATAATTTGATGAGCTGTTGTAACTTTCAGAATTAATGGTACTTTTCTGTTAACTTAGGCTTTCTTAAATACTTTGAAGTCTTAACTTTTATTTAAGCTCAAATAAAAATAGCTAAAATCCTGCAAAACAGCTTGTGTAAACATTGCTAGAAAGATTTGGATGAGGCTTACACTTTCACGAGGATGTGATTTGTCTTTTGCATTAGTTCTACTGGTGTTTCTGGGATTCCCATTTGAAAGTATAGCTAACAAGAGGCTGTCCTTAAAGTTTGCCAAAAATAGAAATTTTTTTTTTTTTCCATACTGTTATCCTCACTGAGTTACCATGGGAATCCTCAGGTAACTATAAGGTGGCTTTTGCTCTATCAAAGGAAATCACTAGTGTAAGTGACAATATTCAGCACTGTTGCAGTGGTTTAGTACAGTTCAGTTCTGCTAACACCAGGAGCCTGACTTAGTAATAACAACCAATGGGGAATAATTAAGACGTGATGGATTTTTAACTTATTTTTCTGTTAAGCAAATTGTCTGGTTTGAAACTTTCTTTCAATATTTAATGTAAATGTTGTCAACTTGTTTACAAGACAATATATTTATATAAACACAGTTCATAAATATTTTTGTCATTCATGTTGTCTTTGTAAAGTTGTTATTTTAGCTGCATAGTTAATGAGCTTTAATTCTAAGGCTGAAAAAATATCTTCAGATATCCTTTGAAACATTCTGAAAGAAAAATGTTTAAAACTACAAGTTTTTAAACTTGTAATGCTATCTGAAGGAAATTAGTCCATGCAAGCGCATGGAAATGTAACAGGTAATCTTTTTATAAGACTAAGTCTTAATAATTATTGAAATGTAAGGGAATTATTAATGTTCTGCTTGAATGTTTGCACACTCTTACTGATAGGTTTTTGTTCAGTTATTTCAAAAACAGTCTGCCTCTTCCTGCAGTACTTCAGAACAGTATGCTCTCAGAAGCTTCTGAAGTTTTAGTTGGTTTCAGTATTTCAAGAAGTTTTAGATGAGTTGCTTAGTTGATGCGTGAACACAGGGAACTGGTGTTGGGACTCTTACTGGAACAAACAAAATTTTGAAGTGTTTTAACAAGCCTTTTGTGCCGACTGCTCCAATAATAAACATTTCTATGTGGCAGCCTTGAAGAAAGTCTGATGCTGTAGCTTGATCATAAGCTGCAACTGTGCAGTCAAGTCTGCTCAAGCAATACCAATCGATTGTTTTGCTACCACTGAGGCATTTGAAAGGACAGAAATGTATTCAAACACTGATAGTAGGTACTGAAGCTTGACTAGAATGTCTGAGCTCCCTTTGACTAGAATTAGCTGAATGCAATTTAAACATGACCATTGGGAAAACTTTCAAGGAATTACTTACAAGAAGTTCAAGTAACTCAAACAGAAGTCGGAACATCATGTTAACTGTCTGGAAGTTGCATTCAGAGGTTATCAAGAAGCTGGAGTTATGCTTATTTGTGGATGCCCTGCTGAAAAACTTAGAGCAATTCATTTAAATTAATTGCTTAGATGTTCATTTTTGTTTTCTGGATTTTGTTCATATTTCAACTTCAGCTTTATGATAATTAACACAAGTATGATTGACAAATGTCACTCATTTAGCTTTTACCTGCAAAATTATAGTCTAGAATTTTCTGCAGGTTTATGAGTAAATTTGAACTTCTAGTCATGTTGTAATCTAGTAGTCTACCTTTTAAGCAAACATCAGTGATCTTGGAGGTCCTTTCCAACCATGACAATTCTGTTTGTGTTTTTCACTACTTTGATTGCATGAATATTCCAAATCCATCTCTGTAGCATGAGCTTTGAAAACTTCTGAATAGGTGTAGTGCTATTGTCAGACCTGGCATGAGTTAGATATTTTTTTGTTGTTGTAGTTCTGTAGTCAGCTTCTACTATGTTGAAGGCTCATGAATATTTAGAAACCAGTGAGCATTAAATCTTGCTGACACATCAAGCATAAACCATGGTCACCAAGAGTATGTTTAATAGCATTCAGCAGAACCATATGCTAAATGGGTCCTCATCTTGCTGCTTGGTCTGTAGTGATTGGTAGATTATCTAGATTTACAAATCAGAAATACAATAAAGCCTGTAATAATCTGG